AGCAGAGGCACTGACCAGCTCATTTTTGGAAAACCTCACCAATGGTTTGCTACGACAGAAAGGAAAAACAAGGAAAAATCCCAGCCTGCTCCAGCAGTTATGCTTGTATCTGGCTGTGATGAGCTCCTTCCCACCTGTTGGTAACACCAGCACCTTTGGGACCTGCTGCTCCCCACTGCTCATGCCCCACACAGAGACTCTGCAGGACACAAAAACACACACCTCTACCATGCAAAACTGGACAGCTCCAAAGCAAGAGGTGGGATAACACCCAGTAAAAAGGAAATAAACAGGGGGATATGAGGGTATTCATGCCAGTCAACAGTGCCATAGAAAAACACTCTCATAACATCTATTTACAAACACTAACACTGCCTTTTCAGCATCAAGAGGAGGCCAATTTATATAAATGCTTATTTTTACTAGAAAAGTGAAATCCTTTAAATGAAATAAAATGTTATTTATGGTTTTATGTACTTGCTGCTGATGCTCTGAAAAAAGACCCGCCACTGAAAGGATGGAGATATGCCACCAAGCACATGGGACAGGGGTTCACTTTACTTGAGATGTTTTAGCACAGTGGTTTCCTAAGTGCGGGAAGAAGATTACATTCTTCCTTTTATTCAGTAAGATCAATCTTACTGCTTCATTGAAAAGGAACTGGAAGCTGAAAGACAGAAGTCAACTATGTCGTTTCAAGCTGTGGAAAAAAGTGGATATGGAAAATGGCTGCAATCTTGAAAGACACGAGGACCAGGAACGACCATACTGTCTTTGTTATGTTATTGGCTTGTTGGAAATGCAAAGCATGTTTAGATAAACATTATTTTCCATATGTGTTCAGCGCATTCTCTCAACCATTAAAAACATTAAAAAAAATTCTATTTTTGGGCCTTTTTAATTGGAATTCAGTTCCCATCCAAATGCAGCTTGACCCACCATGTGTTTAAAAATTCCTCATATGGTAAATAGGAAAGCTGCCACTTACCTTATAGTAACATAAAAGTCTAAAAAATAAGGCTGAAATGTATTGTGAGATACAGTACTGCTTAAATATAAATGTACTGATAGATGACTTCAGCTTTAATTGGTAAAAGGAAGTACAGGACTTAGTGAAAAAGCTTACAAAGAAAATCAGTATATTTTGTTTCAAACTCAAATAAGAATCAGACTTAAGAACATCTCCTGAGAAAAGGAAATGCAGACAACTATTAAAATTGATTATTTGAGTACGTATTTCTTGCATAGCTAGCTTGCATAGCTAATGTTGCTTCACATCAATCTCCACTACCTTGAGGAAACTTACAATTTAGAAACAAGAACCAATGAAGACCCAGCAAAGGAAAGATAGTCACAATGAACAATTTTCTGACTGATGAGCAAAATTAATTCCAAATTACTTCCCTTCCCTGCCTTTGGAATTAGAACATACCTCTTTACTCTTCCTGCACTTTGCTGCAACGTTCACAGGTTGTCAGGGCTGCGAGGGGAATTTTGGGGCTCTGGACATTCTTTGCCACGCCCAGGGCAGCTCTGCTCCCCATCTGCCAGGGCAGCACGGGCATGACTGGAAGGATCCTGCACAATCCCACTGCCCTTTTTGGGCATCCTTGTGCAGACAGGGTCACCTCTGCTACCTGTCCCCCCAGCGCCCTGTGCAGCTGCCCTCACATAAGACATAGATGCCTCAGCAGTATCACCACGTGATATAAGGAACAAAACCAGCCAGGACATTCCTGTTTATCATGTTGCATCTCCCTGAGGATTTTCTGGTTTTGTTTTTTAAGGGGTCATGCTCAGTCCTTGCCATTTCTACCACCTCAGTTTTCCTCCCCACCCCGGTATTTCTGTTCACCTCCACCACGTATTTCCCGGGGGCACCTTCTCGGTGAACACAGCAACTGCTTGCACCAGTGTGGATCTCTGAGCAGCAGCTGGCAGGCAGCAAGTCTCCCAGCACAAGGCCTTCTCCTGTTCACATGATGCTTGGAATTCGAGCAAATGCTGGTTTTGGGTGCCTGCCAACCTCACAACCAACGAACAGGATCCGAAACAGAACTGGGATATTTGTTTTCTCTCGCCCTGGCAAGCAGCACAAGGTGGCATCCCTGGGGAAGCCCCTTCTCTGAGTGCCCGTCACTGGGGATTTTGTGGCTGCTGCTACTTCATGCAGGCAACGAAAAATGCACTTGGCACTGTGCAGCTTAAACAAAAACCTGCACTTTGTGCTGAAAGCACAGGTACAGAAATACAGAGATGCTGCCCCATCACCCCCACCCAGGAGTGGCCATGGCAACCCCTCACTGTGTGCCAGGGCCGGTGCCAGCCTGCACATCCCTCCCCAGCCCTGCCAGGCCACCTGGGCTGCAAGGGCCACACCAACCACGGGTCCCATCCTGGATGGCAGCGCTCCCACTGCTGTCAGTGCTGGGGCAGGTCTGCGGCAGCAGCCACGGCATCAAAAGTTTTAGAACGTGGTGTCAGAGCCTGCAGTCTGTCAGGGTGACTTTGCTTTGAAAGCCTGGATGGCAGTAAAGATGAAAAATGGTTTTGCCATTTTCTCCCCGTCTGCCCTCACACTATTTATGCCCAGCAGGACACAGAGGGCCTGCTCCCACCACATGGCTCCCATTCCTATCCCTGAGTGACTACCAGCCACTGGCCAAGGGCTGCCTGAAGAAATGGCTTCCTCTGAGATCAAGGCAGCTGAAGGCTGGGGAAGAAACACCCCTTGGGCACAGCGGAGGCACAGCAGGGATTAAAGAGATCTCCTGAAATCCATGCCTGTAGCTCAGTCAGGGCACTTTAAGACACACTTCCCCACTTTAAGACAGCCATGAAATCTGGCAAACAGCATCAGTCCTCCTCTAGAGTGCCCAGTAACCCTGACTCTGCACAAGGGCCCGAAACAGCAACAGGATATAGGGGATATACTGATACAATGAACTGGAAGTATCCGAGAAGCTGAAACCAGGAGGGTTTTATTAGAAATCCACAGTTTTTCTGGGATTTTCAAATAAATAAAACCAAAGCAATCTAATTTTTTCTGAAGTCCAAAGCTAGTTAATTTATTTCTAAGTGTCCTGACTTCCTCAGACTTCCTGACCGAAACACTCACCAGCGCTCCACACGAAATTTCAGCTCAAAGAGCCAGTTTCAAAGACTTACTGCTACCAGCTGACAGGAAAGTCAAACTGCAGTTTTTGACCTTAATAAAAGTCTTATACACTTTCTTCTAACATTGTAAGTATAAAGAAACATGAAAAATGACTAAAACCAGGGCACCAGTTGTGGGTTGAGTCCAGCACTTCACATCCATTTGACACAAGTGTAAATCCACAACTAATAAAGCAAATTGGGTAAACAAGGCCTTTTGTTTGAGACACAGCTGAGGGCTACCAAGGCATCTGTAAAATGGGTTTCTCTCCTCAGCACTCTTACCCCTTCTTGCCTAAAGTACAGGGCCTGAAGACAGGGGAAATGGGGTAGTTTTGGTCCTCATTACAAAATCAGCTCTCAGGGAGGCTGTGCTGAGGTTTCCCTACCCAGCTCATGCAGACTGTGCTACAACAGCAACACACCAGGCTAACTGCAATCCCACAGAGGGCTCCTGTGAGAGAGGAATGGTTGGGAACCCTCCTGAAAGACCCTCCATCCTAAAGAAATGGACTGGGGAAAGGCTGAGGGAAAACGAGGATCTGTGACTCATCCTGTTCCCCACATCCTGTTTGATGAGTGATGCCCAAGAGAAGGAGACTTCGGAAAGGGGGGACCAGAATCAAAATCCAATGGGTCAGAAGCCTGCAGTTGCCCTGTCAGCCTTTACCCACCAATCTCAGCTACAGGCAGGATCATGCCCATAGAGCTCGAAATCTCTGCCATTCAGAGGATTTATTAAAAGTATTTTACTTTTGCTCCCCTGAAATTACATCATTCTCCTCTTTTATCTGCCTTAAGTGTCAGGAGAGTGTGATGTCAATGAGATGTACAAAGGCTTTTGGGTAGCTGAACAGTTTTATAGTCCCACATTGATAAATTAAAGCATTTGTCACTGTTACCACATTAATGTTTCTTCCAGAGATCAAAGTCTGGATTTGCTGCATTGTGGTACCATCCTCTGCTATGCATTACCACGCATTACCTTGTGAGAAAATGAATTGTGATCCTGTATCTTTACATTCACAGTTTAATCACGCCCTGATTGTCACACCTGCTGATTCCCATCTCCACATGCACTATGCAAGCCATTTTTGCAGTATGGATTTTCTCCTTGATACCTGCGTGAAAAGCCTGAATATCTTGTTTCAGGACAATCACTTTCTTCTGGCTCTGAAAGGCTGCTTCTGCAGCAAAGAATACAGACAATTTCCTACCTTCTGGAACCCTGGATTCAGTCATGTTAATTTACATTTATATAGCACCTTTCATCCCTGAAGATCCCAATGCACTTTACAAACTCCCCCTTCTCTGTACACAGAAGCTGTACAAATAGACACAGCTCCATAAACAGACACAGCAGTCCCACCACTGACTGCTGAAACACATCCCTCCGTGTGTATTCCCAGCACACTCTAGCAATCCACCTCTGCACACCCTGCAGCGTATCACCATCAAGGAGGAAGACAAGGCAGAGTGATTTAGAGGCACAGCACTTCCCTGTCGGGGAGGCACGAGGAATCTAGGCAAGCAATGGAATGTCAGCCTGGGAGACTGACATTTCCTTGGCACTCTGCTACATAGGGTAAAATCAGGTGAAAACTGGTTTGTGGTGAGTTACACCTCGCTGCCTCAGTGCTGCTTTCAGAGCTTGTACAAGTCCAGGCTTGCTGCTCCCTTCCACTGAAGGGGTGACCCTCAAGTAGTTTGTTTTATAAAATGGAAAAGTACCTGCCTGCTTTGTAATGAAAACGTAAGGGGAAATAACCCTCCCTCCCCAGCAGCAGTTGTTGATTAGCTCCTGCCAAGCTGAAGATGGAGGAGAAGGGAGAATCCCAACATACCTGAGACACCTTTTTGACCACGTCGCTGCCCACCAGAAAGCCCTGTGCGTAGGAACGTGCTGCGATGAAGGCTCGGGTTGCCTTCACCTTCAGGTCCCTGGGAACTTCCCCGAAGGGTTTGTGCTGCTCTGCGTGTTTCACCATGCAGTCCAGGTACTCATCTGTGATGTGGTACTGGGGATTCATCAGCTTGAAGAGCCGCTCCAGCAAGCGTGTCCAGAACTCATTGAGGGCCTCTTCCAAGTTGATGTTGGAGCTCCGGTAATAGCGGCGCAGCTCGCTGTACAAGTCCTTGAAGACTTTCATATTTTGAGTGTACAATTCTCCATACATGCTTGGAAAAGCATCATAAAGGGCCTTTTCTGACTTGTTCAACAAATCCTGGAAATAACCTGAAAAACAAGAAAAAGGAGAGGTGATGTATTCCAGAGAAGCTGGAACCCAACAGGCTGTGTCATTTGGCAGCATAGCTGAATACCCTGAGAAAAGAGAAGGGCCCCAGTGGAGCATTTCTTCCAACCAACCTTACCAGACTCTTAGACTTGAGACTTAGCTGAGAAGATTGAAGGGGGAACCCCTCAGTGCCCGAGAACCATGGTCTGGCACTCTGAGTCTCTGTCAGCCTCACCTTGAACCAAAACAGAGTCTCTTTGGGTGCAGAAAGTGTCACAGTACTACTCATAGCTTTTCTTTACAACTGGCATTGCCTAACTTATACCCCAACTTGCCACATGTCATTTCCAAAGCCCTGGTGAGATGAAGCAGGGCTGCCACCAACAAGAGTCCCAGCCCTTCCCAGAGCCACCCTGCCAGCCCTGGCCATGGCAGCCAGCCTGGCTCCGAGGCACAGCCTGCAAAGCACGTGCCAGTCCCAGGAGCCGTGTCAGGAACAGGCACGTCTTTCTGTGGATTTCAAGACGGGGCTGTACCCAAGTGTTTGTGAACTGAGGCCAACATTATCATGTCTGAGGGTTCTTATCCCATTTGCTTTCTTGGATGTGCATCCTGCTTTTGTTTCGGTATGAATAACTAAATGGTTTTACAGCCCAAGTTCAGCAGTCATAGATGTGACAGAAATGTGACTCTCTTGTACGCACAGCAAGGTAAAGATGGCAGATTCAACTCCTCCCTTGCCAACACCTTTAGGTATTTCCATCCTCTAAACTGCCAGCTACCTTCAGGCTGAGAATGCACAGTAGGGAACTCATAGCAGGACTGGCCTGATTCAATTTATTGATTTACATGAGCAACTTCAATCATCATTTAAGTCAGTGAGAAGCAAAATAATTTAAATAATAACTTTCATTTCAATTATATTTGTATTTTTTAAGGCCTTTTTGAAGCAAACTTGATTATACTATTCTCTAAATCTAAATTACTATTATTTTTTTTGGTGATGTATGATAAGCTCTAGTTGGAGAGAAACTGTTACTCAGTTAATTAAAATCAAACAGCATGTATAAATTAACTCCACTGTGCTAGGCATACAAGGAAAGAAAAAAGCTTCTGAAAAATGCATATTGCATGTACAAAGCTTTAATAAACAATGTGATTTTTTAGGGAATGCAACTGACTACAGTTAAAGACCTCTAAAATTGTAGAACTACTAAACTTCAGTTCCATCATCTTGTTTATATTCAGGGACTGGAAGGGCCATACAAGCTTTCCTACAGTATTAATGTCTCATTGGCTTCTCAGATTCGAAGCTAAAACTCAACAATTGAATCAACCAGTGAAAAGACCCTTTGCATCTTCACCACAGATTTGCTAATACCAAAACTTCCTGTACGATTTTAACAAAGAAATACTAAGCATTAATAACCAGGCCTCCTCCAGCCACAATTGTGTGCTGCTTAATAATTTAAAAATTAAGTGCTTTTAAAAGATTGTGAGTAAATTAGGTCTTAGCAAAAGTTTGGTTCAATCACTTCTGGAGGCAATAAAAATATGTTATCTAAAATGCTGAATAAAAACTGGTTTCCAAGTGTACTTTTGGAAGAAAATGATTCTTATTCAACCTGACCAGGCTGGCAGTTTATATGTCCAAACATTTGTCCTGGGGAACCCTCCTTCTCCCAAATACTGCTCTGAATGTATTTCTATACCTTCCCTACTGAAACTGGTTTTCTCCCTACAGACACCAGGCTTGTCAGGGCCCCTAAGCCACCTATAAAACGACCTTGTAATGGGGTGCTCTTAATAGAAAAAAAAGTCAAAAGCTGATCTCATCAACAAGTACTTTGCTAAAGACTTCAGTTTAATAAGAAGAGGTGCTGCAGCATGTGCCATCCTAACACAGCTTATCCAAGCCTCTCCTCTGCAATCTCAAGCAAAGGGTGACTTGAGCCCTGCCCTCTCCCCGGGTCCCAGCTCCCACTCCCCTGCCCCAGCTGCCAGAGAGGACCTCTCTCCCAAGGCAGGACAACCTTGGCAACACACACACAGGACTCATCCTGGTAACCCTGACCCAGCAGCCTCTGCACAGACCTTTCTTCTGCTGTGAAGTGCTCACCCTAACCCTGAGGGCCCAGCACAGCAACTGTGTGCACCCACTCCTGGGAGGTTCTGGCTACTCCACCAACAGAGCTACAGGAGGATGATTTGCTCTGGCACTGCTGTGAGCTGACTCGGGGCTCATTCTGCTGCAGTGCCACCTTATCTTGTTGCAAGGGCACCTGAAGCATCTCCCCAGGGGGCTCACCCAGGGCTCACAAGCCAAGCAGATGACTGCCAGGCTGATAGTTTGTCCTGGCAGGATACTTTTCCCAATCTGAGTAATCTGAGATGGCTTTATTTCTGCTGCCAGAGTCTTCCTACCCGTACAATGAACGAAAACAGCACTCACCTCCAACAAACACATAATACAAAGTTTCTCTGATGTTGCTGAGATGTATAAAAGCTGCTCTGTGTCTTAACATATCAAACACTGCTGGATGCCCATTCAGAATTTAATTAAACTGAGCTCAAACTCTCTTTCTTGTATAATCAGTGGTCTTTTCTCTGTGACAAGCGACACTAACTGAACTAATTGCTCTTCAGTGCAGGTACAACATGCAGCTTTGCACTCACCATCACAAGGAAGAAAACACCAACACAGTCCAATTTGTCAATTCAAGGTAAAATTACTTTCTTTGTATTGCTACAGGACAAACAAGATGTATATCTTCCTGTCAAAAAACTGGAGACTGCTCTCAAAAAAGTCCAAGCTAATTAAGGGCTGATGAACTGTTACTTCTCCCCCAAGTGAGAGCACACCAATTACAGACAACTCCTTTTGTGGCTAGTTCTCAGAAGGTTCTTCTAGATCTCACACACTGAGAAAAAAAAAATCTACACTAGCTAGGGAAAATTAATTAGCAATTAAGTCTAAATGTGTTTGTGATGAATGGCTGAGCTGGCAGGGAATTTAAATGCCCATTTTGCAGCAATAGAAGGCACTAAGAAGTAAGGTTTGTCAAGAAGGATGCACAGGAGCTTGTGCCCTGGTCCTCAGCACAGTGTCAGCCAAGACCTCCAGCTAACACTGCATCTTTTCCTTAGCACTCCCTGCCTGCTGATATCCAACCTTTTAAAATGTTTAGACATGTTCATAGATAAAAGATATGCAGGGACTTGGGATAAACAGCTTGCTGAAGCACAGTTCAGGCATCTGCCCTTCTACCTTGATTTCAGGTAGAGGGAATTATTTATTTGAGGGAAGCACCCCATTATCTGTAGCCATGGTGGGTGGGGCAACCTCGGGTAATCTGGTCAGAAGTCTCTGGTAATACAGCTCTTTCTCTCAGAAGTTAACAATGAGCACCCAGCAGGTCCATTTGGATGTATTTTGGTCCACCACTGCTGGGTCTCAGGCAGGGCACAAGCACATGGAGGCATTTTCACCCAGGTCACACCCTGGACACATCCACAAGGCTCCCAAGCTCTGCTGACACCACGTTCTCCATGCCAGCATCAGCAGGCTCAACCTATGACTTCATTCATGCACTGTAGCATGTGGCTTCGTCAGCCTCAGGAATGGCAGGGATGGAGGGAAAGGGCTCACAAGGAGCCAAGTGCTGCAGCTGTAAAGCACTTCTGTCTCCAGGAGTCCTCTCTGCACTCCCATCCCTGGGAGAAGGTACACAGACAGCTGAGGAGGCTCTGCAGAGGATGCTTCCTGCTGAAAGGATGAACCTGTTTCCACTCTGAGTCACAAGTACAGATTTTGTGCACCTGTGTTGGAAAAACCAGAGCTGTTCTTGGCTTCTGTCAGCCTCAGGAATTTGACAGTTCTGGCCAGATACCTTCCTGTGAGTCACCTGCTAAATCCATGACTGGGCTTCCCCACTTCCAGAAAGTTTTCTCCAGGAGCCACTGAACCGGTGAGTCCTTCCTCCCCACTGCTGGCTAAGGGATTACAACACCCAGGAGGCGACTTTCTAACACCCGTACTCCAGACAAATCAAACTCAATTTTCCCTGAGCAAATGCAAGGCACAGCTCCTCAGCCAAGGCCGCTTCTACATGAAACACCACCTTTCACACCCTTGCTGCAAAGTATTCAAAAGAAAAATAAAATGAAATGGCAGTCTGCTGGTTTTTTATTATTATTATTATTGCCTATCACTTCCAGGCTCAGAAACAAGACAACCAGCTTTGCTCAAAGGCAATTTGGCAGGGGCTAGGTCTGAAAAAGTCTGCCTCAGGTACCAAAATGACAGAAAGTTATGAGCAAAGAAATGAAAGGTTTTTACAACCAAGACAGTTCTGCCACCTTGGCCGCTGTTTCTCTTGCTGTTGTAGTGACAAAAACTTTTCAGAGAATTAAGTTTTCAACCAGAATCTATAACCTTTGCATTCAAGAGAGATTGTAAGTCCCTACCCATTCCCCCGCTTCACAGCTTCCCAGTGTTCGCAGTTCATATTTTCACGGTTTCCACGTTTTCACAACTCTGGATTCAAATTGGGAAGCTGTGAACAGCACGGCAGGGACCGGCAGTTTCTCTCTGAAGATGGAAAGTTTTGAGTTTCTCCTTTATCGCTCCCTCCACCCCCAAGTACTTTATCCAAGATCTTTGATACCATTTGATCACTCAACATCTGGAACACACTGGGGTTTCTTCAACTAATATAATGATGGAAGGGGAAGGGATGTAGGAGGGAATAAAGAGGTCACTTCAGGCATGCAGCAGAGCAGGCTTTCTTCAAAACACATCAAATTTGAGAGGCATGCTAGAAGAAATAGGAGAGATGGAGAAAGGTGACTGAATTACTTTCAATCTGAATATTATTAAAGCCTTAGGCAGAAAACTGCAGCACAAAAAGTCTCACACATAACTGGAAAGAGATGAGGGAGGAAAACACGTGGCTCAGATGATGCCATTAATTCCAAAATCAGATGTTAAGACTGAAGC